CAGCGTGAGAACGAGTCTCTTAGGGAATATGTGGCCAGGTTTACCCGCGCATGTGTGGAGGTCCCTACGACGACTGAAGAAATCAAGGCTGGTGGGCTGACACGGGGGTTGAAGGCAGGTCACTGCAGAAATTCGCTAGCCAAGAAGTCCGCCCGATCCTATGATGAGTTATTGGAAAGGTGTACCAAGTATCTGAATATGGAGGAGACGGAGGCAGATTTCCTTGCACATGATCGGGCTAGGGGAAAGAAGCATGAGGAGAAGCATAGGCCAGAGCAAAGATGATCTCACAAGATGAGGTAATGGAGCTGATGTGCTGAAGCATTTGGGGAAATTTGAGCCCAATTGGGAGGGGTCTTACATCATTCAGAAAGTGTTTGTCGGAAGAGCTTATGCGCTGAAGGATCCAGAGGTGCTTGGACGTATAAATGACTAGGGATTGCTGAGTAAGGACAGTTTTTAGTTATTGTTAAGTCTTTAATGATTGTTTGATTGCGTTCATGATAATTTCAACTTGTCTTCGAAGAAATTGTTTTTTGGATTTTGAATGAGCTAGTTATGTACAATGCATGTTTACATTATGAATCATATTTGAGTACACTTTTTTTACGTATAAAGGATTTAGTGTGACGACTTAAGGCCGAGCTCTTGGGAGCTCGGGTGCTGTTCAAAAGAAGTGGCGGCTTAAGACCGAGCTCTTGTGAGTTCGGGTGTTGTTCAAAGTGTGTGACGGCTTAAGGCCGAACTCTTGTGAGTTCGGCTGCTGTTCAAAGTGTGTGACGGCTTAAAGCCGAACTCTTCTGAGTTCGGGTGATGTTCAAAGTGTGTGGCGGCTTAAGGCCAAACACTTGTGAGTTCGGGTGTTGTTCAAAGTGTGTGACGGCTTAAGACCGAGCTCTTGTGAGTTCGGGTGCTGTTCAAAGTGTGTGACGGCTTAAGGCCGAACTCTTGTGAGTTCGGGTGATGTTCAAAGTGTGTGACGACTTAAGGCCGAACTCTTCTGAGGTCGGGTGCTGTTCAAGGTGTGTGGTGGCTTAAGACCAAACATTTGTAAGTTCGGGTGCTGTTCAAAGTGTGTGACGGCTTAAGGCCGAAATCTTCTGAGTTCGGGTGCTGTTCAAAGTGTGTGGCGACTGAAGGCCAAACACTTGTGAGTTCAGGTGCTATTCAAAGTGTGTGACGGCTTAAGGCCGAATTCTTGTGAGTTCGGATGCTGTTCAAAGGGTGTGACGGCTTAAGGCCGAACTCGTGTGAGCTCAGGTGTTGTTCAAAGGGTTTGATGACTTAAGACCGAGCTCTTGTGAGTTCGGGTGCTGTTCAGAGGATGGGACAGATTAAAGTCGGGCTCTGGTGAGCTCGGGTGTTTTTCAAATGATGTGAATACCGAGCAGGTGGATGTTCGGGTCTTTCTTTGGACAAGACCGAGCAGGTGGATGTTCGGGTCTTTCCTTGGACAAGACCGAGCAGGTGAATGTTCGGGCTTTCTTTGGACAAGATCGAGCAGATGGATGTTTGGGTCTTACCTTGGACAAAACCGAGCAGGTGGATGTTTGGGTCTTTCCTTGGACAAAACCGAGCAGGCGGATGTTTGGGCCTTTTGCTCGGACAAAGACCGAGCACATGGGCGTTTGGGAATGTGTGCGGACAAAAAAACCGAGTAGGTGATGTTGGGTTAGTTGCTTGGACAAAACCGAGCAGGTTGAGGCTCGCGTCATCTGCTCGGGTAGGGATTTATTTATCTTCTCGGTCCGAAGCCGCTCGGTTGGGAGTTGCTTCATGTGGTCGGGTATGCGATTATTAATCTTCTCGGATACGCGATCAGGTGTTGTAGCAACGTGGATGGTCTAACCTGCTCAGTCGCGGAGGGCCTCATCTGCTTTAGGCCGATCTCGCGCGAGTTTAGGTGCTGTGA